AAAATTTCTTACTTTTCCTCAAGATAAAAGCACAATGCGCAGAAGCAATTTATTACCTACGGTGGTTAGGTGTATGTGTGGGCAGGAGGTTAGGTAGTTATGGTATTTTCTTCTTTTTTTTTTATAAAAAATGTTTTTTAAAATTCTTCTCAAATATTTTAAAAAGGGAGCTTATTATTTTATTTCCCCAAGTTCTCCCTTTGTTTTCGAATCCAAGAAAACAGAAACAAAAATCGAGAAGAACGTACTTGGTGAATTTCCATTCAAGAAAAGGTCTTTTCCAATTTGTGTGAGGTCATCGATGGACTGACTCCTGTAAAGAGGATGGAATAGCCTCCTTTGGTCACCTGTCCTGAAGCTGGTCGATGCACCCAGTCTTTTGGGTGAAGAAGATGGAAGATGAGGTGGGTTCACCAGATTAGAAGTAGAGGGGCATTTCTCCAGTTCCAGTTTCACGTCGTACGGAGATGCGTAAGAGAGTATGGTCAAAGCGTCCTCGTAGACCATAGCGCCGAACGAGACGGTCACGCCAATTATTTTGTCACCTAAACAAAGAATGCATTATTTTGATAATAAAGAATGAAGACTTCAATGAAAAACTCATCTTTTTTTTTTGGTTTATATTTGCAAATGCCGCAGTTTATGAAAAAATTATCTCGTCTTAATTTCGTCTTAATAATAAGATGGAATTTAATTTGTAAAGAATTGCTTCATGGAATGCTTAATTAACTTGTGTAATTTTTGTAAATTAAAAAGATGGAATTCAATTTGTAAAGGATAGCTTCATGGAATATTTAATTTACTTGTATGATTTTTGTAAATTAAAAAGAAAGAATTTAATTTGTAAAGAATTGCTTCATGGAATATTTGATTAACTTGTATAATTTTTATAAATAAAAAAAGATGGATTTTAATTTGTAATGAACGGCTTTGTGGATTGCTTTGTTAACGTGTAAAATTTTTATTGAAATTGTTAGATGAATAACAGTGTTGAAAAGTATAAGGAAAACTTTATTTACAGAGGAAAACTTTTCAGAGAATTAATACTAGTAAAACTGTTATACTCATAAAATAGGTGATTTTATGAATTTTTCAGTAGCTTCGTAAAAATTAGTAAAAAAAATAATAAATGAATGAATAGAAATAAAACATTTTTACTCGTCAAGAAGAAGATTTGGCGGTTTCTTCATTTATTTGTAAAATTATAAGGATTTTTTTTTCTTCATGAAACGCAGATTTGAAAAATACGAAAGAAAAATTATTTTGCGCTAATGTGAGAAATTATTTACTGTACAAATATAATATTCTAAAAATAACTATTTATAATACAACAAACAGGTACATTTATAAATCGTTATTTTTTTTCGAAAAAATAATCCCACTACTTTTTAATACAAACTAGATAGAACATAAAGCAAACAAGTTCATTTATAAATTGTTTCATAAAAATAGTTTTAAGAAAATAATAATTATCCCTAAATCTTTGAATTCAAACTAGATAGAACAACACAATTTTTTTTCTATTTCCTTTATACAGGGCCCGCGTTAAGCATTCGTGACCTTGCCAAATACTATAAAATCTAAAATCCTAAATTTGGCGAATAAAATTGTGTTTCGGCTAAAGCATTGGCGAATTATTTTTTCCACTGGAAAGAAAAAAATATATAAAAAATTGTTAAGATTTACATTTGGCGAAGACTTTCGAAAATTGGCGAATACTTTTGATATTTGTCCAATTTACTGGCTAATAATTTGAAATCCTTAGTGCGGGCAGTGCTTAATACTTAACTTAAGTAATGCTTAACCCTAAGCAGTTTTTTCTCCGTTTAATTACTATTTTACAGTTTTCCGCAATTCCCTTCTATTTTCAAAAGCGAAACATGATTTTGGTTTAAAACATATACATTGTTTTGCAACAATATTGAAGGTATTTTTAATCTAAATAATGAATGAACAATCAATTAACAACATTTGTCATTTAGCAATCATGATTTACAAATTGTATGTCAACAAGCTATAGGTATTTTAAACAATATATAACTGAGCTATCGTTAATCAATTTTATCTGATTTTGTTCCTTTTGAATGCTTCGTTATATATCATTTAATCAATGCCATACTGTTTAGTAAGATTAATTTGTAACATTCTGATTTGTTTTAAAACCATTTATTTGGGACAACAAATCCTTTTTTGCACCTTGAGCCATTAAACCCTAAATTCAATGCAATTACATCCATTCACGCTAATATTGCACAAGATTCATTTGTGCAATGTCATTGCACAAATTATATTAATTATTGTGATTTGCTATTGTATTTATGAACAAAAAGTGATAAATATCAAGTGCTATGTGTTCAAAATGTAAATTCTTAATTGCTTTTAATAATTTATATTTTATGAAAAAAAGTATTTCTCATAAGAAGGAAATTATTCTTCAGGTATCGATGTATAAGAAAAACTCTTGTAATTTATTTATACGACATAGTGAGCTATATTTCTTTTCGAAAAAAAGTTCTCGCAACTTTCTGGAACACTGTTTAAAACAAAAAGTAAATAAACATGTTCTAAAATATTTTTATTTTTCAAAACAAACATACGCCAAATATAAATATATTATTCATTACCCTAAAAGACTTATAAAAATTGTGATTGCCGAAAGGCGATCACAGGTTATCCATTGGCAAAATAGTTGTTGTCTAATTTTTTTTTCTTTACATTCTACCGTAACATGGTAGCTGAAAATACTCACATACATTTTTTTTTTCTTGGTTCAACTGTAACCTTTGGGACCGAGTCAATCAGTTTGGACCCTCTTTATTTGTGATATTCACCTGAATTAGTATTGAAAACGATCCGGTTTGAATTGTAGATTAGAATTTCTCATTCTTAATTAAAACAATAAAAACAAAAATATCTTTCAAATGATGAAATTCTCTTTTATTCTTAACTCAAGAGGTATTTATGGGATCTTTCTGGTCCCATATCCAAAAAATAAACTCGCCAATTTAATACATAACAAAATTAAAAGTTAAAAAAAAGGAATTCTATAAAAATAATCCAACAGCAGCGGTCGCCATAGCAAGGTTCATAACCCCGAAATGATTGAAGATTAGTATTTATTAAAATCAAATGAAAAAAAAGGATAAAATATTTTAGTAAATAGATTCACCATACTGATTAAAATGCTGAAACAAAATAAATAAATAAATAAACGAGTTAAATAATGTTTTATAATGGACAATTATATTGTCAGTACATGCATGCACTTGTAAATTTGATATTTCAACACTTAAATTTAAGAAAAAATTTTGAACCAATACTTTCAGTTACTCCATTTTAAAACTAAAACCTAACGTAGGCATAGAACAATAAAATTAGTACAATAATTTTTTTAATGCACGGAAATCGATGCGAAAAGCTATTTTTCGTTACTATTTTATAACTTGCAAACATATATGAAGGCTGCAATTTTGTCGCATATACGTAAATCGTCTTATTAACGTAGTTAGATCGTCTAATAAGTATTTTTAGTGACTGGAAAATCACATGGTAGGATCCATATTTATTTGCTTATCATCAGCATAAAAAGACAATTTATTGTTTTCCTAAAAATATTTTCGTATCTTTAATTTGTACCTGTAATGGATGGTGTTTTCTACAATAGAAAGCGCTGCAGGCTCTTGACTGCCTATGGTGCCTGTTTTTTGTGTGTTTTAAAGCCATTTTGCTCAAAACGTGATCATTGTGTGTTGAAACTATCTTGAATAGAATTTCTTGTATACGCGTATTTGTCAACTAATTTATTATTTGTGTTTAAAAGGTACGAAGCAATGTAAGGACATAAAAAAACTAATTATACTTCGAAGTTGCCAGGTACACAAAACAAAAATATATCTCGGTAACAATAAAATACATAAACAAATAATAAATCTAAGTAAAGTAAAAAACGCAAACGAGAGTGAATTTACTTGCTTTTCAATAAATTTTATGTGTGATACGGTACTGTAATAAATTAACTTCATGCAAATTAGCATTCTAGCTTTTGAGAAGAAGCTAGGCTCAACTTTAACTCGTTTGTTTATCATTCTCCATCTCTCGCTGACGTCATATGTCGGATGTGTGGGTATTCGTAATCTTCTTCATCTTGAAGTGCGAGTACAATTTGTATACCTTTTTGTGTAAATTACACTAATATGGTATTATAAGTCACCGTTAAAGAGATACGTTAAATGATTTAGAAACCCAACTATCAATCGGATGATACAGGCTTATTTGGAAAGCGAAAATATTAAATGATGGTAGTGAAGTTACTAAAGTTGTTCTATCAATAAACCTTTAATTTAAAATGTTATATTAAAAAACTAGTATTCTTGAAAATTATTTATGGCGTTTAGTATAGAATCGGGAGCCCCTTGATTTGGCGATAATTTTTGTTCAGTTTTGCTGAAATCCAATTTTTTGGCTACCATGATTTACTTTGTTGTCTTTGTTTTCAACGACGTTACCTGTGATTGGTTCTTGGTTTATTAGACATATATTCGTTGATTTGCAAATCGCCAAGAAGGAGATGGACCTCCCACTGTAAACTATTACCTTATTCCTGTTTACGGTTTAATTATAAAATATTTATGAACAAAAATAACGAAAATATCTTTTTTTTTATCTCTCTTACCTTTCAAACACTTCTAGTAACAGATGATTAATTATCTGAAATAACAAAAAAAGTTTCTACAAATATTTCAAAAAAAAGAAAGAAGTGTTATACTGACCTGCTTTTATTTTTCCTGATTCGGAGGCCGGCCCCCTGTGAAGGACATCTTTGACGAAGATGCCATCTCGCATGTTGCCACAGATGTTGAATCCCAAACCTGTGAAGTCATGACCCCGCAGAGGTACCGTGATTCGCTCCAGGTGCTGCCAACATTGCGAAACAAATAATGGTGTGAAAAATGTACTCCCTGCTGTTGATGCAATATTACAAATCATATAACTCTTTAATGGGACGCGTTACGCTAAACAAAATTCTTTTAAGCTTGTTACATGTGTCAAGATTAAATGTACGATACAGGTTAAAAACTCAATACTGATGTGTGGTTTCCTCTACAAAGCAAATAAATTTATTTAGATGTCCTAAACAAATTTTATTTGCTTAAAATAGTTATAAAAATTTTATATTCTGCAGAAACTAGGACAATGACAAAACTGTATCTCAATATTAGAGAGAAAGATTTTGAGGAGTAAACTTGGTGGTGTAAATGAAAACAATAACTGGAGAAGGAGATTTAACTTTGAACTGTACATGATTTATAAACAACCTGATATTCAATGGCGGATCCAGCGTAGGGGGGGGGGGGGCNCCCTCCCCCAAATTGAAAAAAAAAAATAATAATAATTTTTTTAATAGTTTACAAAAGAAATAAAATATTTTAAAAATTATTTAAGCAGACATATACACCTAAGTAGGCAACTCAAAATCAAGAACGATTGAATGGACTTGCATTATTAAACATTCATCGAGAAATTGATTTGGGCGTTGAAAAAATCATTGACAGATTTGCCAAAATTTCTAAAAAACGCATTACATTAATTATTTAGAGATTTTGAATACTTGAATTATTTATGTATTGTTCTATTGTTCATTATGAGAAAAAAATAAATGAGAAAACTAGCATTAAAAACCCCAGTTTTTTTTTCTTTTCAAAAAAATTATTTAAAAAACATTTTTTTTGTAAAAAAAATTGTGGGGGGGGAGGGAATCTGAGTCTATGATCCCCCCAGGAGAAATTTCTGGATCCACCCCTGCTGATTTTATTAATTACTTGCCTTATTTAAAAAAGTTGAAACATCCCTTAAACTTTTTAACATTTTGTATAAAATGTCAACAAAAGAAAAATCCTATTCAAAATTATTTTGTCATTTGCGAAATTGTTTAAACGTCTTTAAAATTTAGACTTGAGATTAAATTTTAGACATTGAAACGAAATTTTAAAAACTCTGAGTCTAAATTTATTTGAAATTAAGAAGAAAGATAAGAAAGATTCTGCTGAATTCCTGCTTCAAAACGGTTTCTTTAATTTGAAAAAGGTGAATTCGTCTCTTAAAACTTGGAGACTTAGTAGAGAATGTCAAAATAAATTAATAAACAAATAAAAGCTTTCAAAATTTATAATTAAGTGTCATTGAAAACTTTATTGTTTACAAAACTATTCGTTTTATTCAATCAAACTAATTAAGAAAGGAATTTAAAAAATTAACCGTTTACTTCTTGAAATTGAAAATGAAAACTGTTTTTAAATTTAATGTATAAACAATTCTTACGTGAATTCTACTCTTCATAAAATTCAAAATAAATTGAAATAAATAAAACTTAATTCGCCTCAGTTTAGAATTGTGAGAAAAAATTTTTGCTATTCGGTCGACAAATATTAGATATTTAGTCTATTTGTTTGGCCAAAAATTCGGCTAAATCACTATTCATTACAAATCTAGTTTTTTTTTCCTGAGAAGAAATTAATTTAAAGAATAAATGTTTGAATTATGCTTGTAATAAACGCTATATTTCATATTAAACACCCAAAATTAAAACAAAATAAATCATGAATATTAATCAAATAATTATGAAAGTTGATAAAATGAACTAAACTTTTCTCAATAACTGGACAATGATATCTATAGTGAAGTTATAAAGAAAGATGAATAAAAAAGGGGGGATTTTACCTTGGATAAGTAAGTATCGTCCATTGTCGTTTTTTGTTTCTTTCCAGAAGACGGGTGGAAGACAGCGTGGAATGGTAGACTAGAGAATGGGCGATTTTTCTTCTGTTGACCATTGGTCCCGTTGGATGCCTGTTGCGACAAAAGAAATTTTTTTTAAAAACAGCAGCAACTGAAATATTAACTGATTAATTAATTACAATTATCAAATAAAAGCATTCCCGCAACAGCCCGTTGGGAGCCTGTAGGATCATTAAGGTTAAGGAACCACAATTTTCTGATCAATGGTTATAATGGTAGCACAATTTTCTGGTAATTGTGATTTAAGATATCACAATTTTCTGATCAACAGGTATAATGGCTAAATATGGTCAGTATTGCGCACTGACTTCCCTTACTTTTCAGACAAACTAGTACCCATCAGCTAGATTTACTTCAAAAGCCACTGCAGGGAATCGAACCACAGTCCTTCACGATGACAACCGAGTGTCCTAACCACTAAGTCGCAACAATCAGACAATTATTAATCATAGGATCGATTATAAGCGATTAGGAACGTGACTGTCCGTTGTTTTATTGACTATACCTTTACGGCCTTTTTGACAATATTGCAATTTGATGTGTTGTTCGTGCATTTCCCCAAGCAACAAAATGACTTGGGCCTTCATTGGACTCATATCCTCTAATCTTAATTCAATAAGGCCTTATTACCCGGGTAAAAAGGGCCGATATTTATCCGATATAGGGTCTAAGTAGAATCGTTAGATTAACGTAATATTTTATATCCATTATTCAGCCTAATATTTCATATCGGCCCTATATAGAATCGACCATTTTTCACAATGTTTTACAGAAACTTTTCAACCAATTTTGGCCCAATATAGAATTGTTATTGCCCAATAAAAGGCATTCTAGATGAAAAAATCTAGACATCCCAATATTGGTCCCTCGGTTCATAGGATCCCTATTAAGTCTAACTGAGGACAGGGTAAAATTATTGCTAACTTTTTTCTAGTAGCCGCGACTCAACGATCAACTTCACTGGAGCTAGCAACATTGATGTCAGTAGCCATTCAAGTTGGTTTATTTTTTGCTTTTTGTTGTTCGATTTAAGCAAGAAAAAAATCTCAATGAAAGTAATCTTTTTTAGAAAACAAAGTTCGAATAACAAGAGCGTGAATTTTAGCCTTTATCTGACACATTTATATGATGGAGCGTTCGCCTTCCAATGAGATGAACCGGGTTCGAATCCCAGCGATGACTGGTTGACACGAATTCCGCATCCGTCTTACACTGACTACAGAGCTGGCGTGAAATATCTTCAGTGGTAGACGGATCATGAGTTAGAGTCCCCTTGCCGTCAGGCTAACCGTGGGAGGATCACGCGGTATTCCTCTTCATGTAACGCAAACGTGGGTGTAACGCAAGCGTTCAACGACGGTTATAAAATAAAATAAAATATTTATAAAAAATTGTTTATATCCAAAGCTTAGAACTTAAATTTCAGAAATGAACCCTAATTCATCTCTAATAAGCGACTCGTATCTCTTTAGGTTAATTAGAACATAGAAATAGGATGGCATAAAGGATAGGGTTTTGAATATATTAATGTCTTTTAAAATGTTACTAATAATAGAAGTCTCAGAATGGAGGAATAGTAGGACACAGTTACCAGGGAATTACCGAAGTCAAGCATCACAGTTACTGAGCGGGTGGGTGACCACTTTAATCATCCTGTGAAGATGCCAAGGATGCGCAATATTGATCCTCGTTTAACTGATCTATTGTAAAGTGCTTCACTTTCGGCCCAGGCAACACCTCCTAGAAGAGAAAATGCCACCGCACGGATAAATTTAGTAGTTCAGCGTAGCGAGCATAAACTGCGCAGTGGGGGAATATTCATATCGTCTGGGTTACTAAATTGCGCAGTCGGCGAAAAGTACGAAAGATGACATTACATTTTGACTAAGAAAGGATTGTGTTTCATTAATGTGGCAGCCCAACCCGTGCGGATGCCTTCTCTCTTCTGGGAGGTGTTGGCGCAGGTTGACCAGCTACCAAAGCGGGTGAGCCATTCATTCATTAGTTGTAACCCCAAAAAATAGGTTCAGCTGTTCAATGACGGTTATAAAATTAAATAGTGCATTGTGCACCTCTTTTAAATAAGTAAAGTACTACTGCAACAATAAATGATACACAAATAAAAAGTAAAATATACTTTTTTCATTAACAAATGCTTGATGTGTGATCCTTTTCTAACATGACAAAACATCTAATCGGTCATCTACTCAATTGTTCCTGAGGCTGTACGGTACTTTTTCTCAGTATTTCATAAACACTCTCTTGGATGTGGGAATGATAATGATTTATCATTCATCACATGGCCACCAAGATCACCAGACCTAAAGGCTTGTGGTTTTTAGGGTTACTTTAAAGACTCTGCTTATAAGCTGTACTGATACCACATTTTTGCAGCATTAGGAGCCATTGTTTGCGTGAAAATATGTGGAGCGAACTGAATGACTGATTAGATGTTTGCATTGTAACAAAGATATCACACACACATCATATATTTGTAACTGAAAAATATTGGTACTTTTGGAAGTATTTGTGCAGCATCATGAGTCATTAAAATTGTGTGAAACGACAAAATGTAAGTAATAACTTGATGACAGGTTAGATGTTAGTAATGTAACAAAAGAATCATTCTTCACACATTTCTAACTAATAAACCTTGGTACTGTTGGAAGTATTTGATCAGTATTAGGAGCCATTAGCTGTGAGAAACGATAAAATGTGTAGGAGGAACTTGATGACAGATTAGATGCTTTCACTGTAACGTAGGAATCACATATTATACATTTACAACTAAAAAAACTCGATACTCTCTAACAGTCATAAGAAATCTTCCCAATTGAAAGTCTGCAGTTACCTGTTATTGTGGAAAGAGTAAAATAATGATGGAAAGTAATTGCAGAAATATCGTGACCTTTCTTAACTAAATAAATGTAAAATGATTTATGGTTAATAAGCTTTGTTCAAATCTTCGAAACAACAGTAACCGTTAGCAAGCTTGCCTGGTGATAGCCAGATATTAGTTTTCTTTAATTTTGTGTATTATTTATTGTAATATGAGAAATATTTTTCAAAATAAAAGTATTCAAAATTCGGTTAAACGTTTGTGTTAAGCCCATACATTAGAAATTTACATTATCAGCCCTTCGATTTTGAAGACACTATTGAATGGATTATTCCTGTCGTTGTCAGGACAACGTCTGATGAAGAGTTACTCTCGTTGCTAAGGTAGTTTCCGTATCCTCGAATTGAAGATTCAACCTGGTAAGTCGAATAAAATATTTTATTTCGTTTCATATACGCGTAAATAGTCACATTGCTTCATGGCTACGTAAGAGAGACAATTGTCTAACCCGTTTTATAGATTTATTTCACCGATATTTCACGAAAATATTTTATTGCGTTTTCTTCTTTAATAACTGTTGCATACGCGAAGAAACCCGATAAATTGTGAAGAATGGATTTCTATAAATGGAATGTGATAAAGACAACTATCCAGAAAGTGGTAACATGTTTACCATTTTGAAGGACAAAAGACAATAAGAACAAGAAAGGATGGTTGACAGTGGCATAAATGGAATTCCATCTTTTCAAAGGTCACCCAAACACAATGAATTGAAAAAAAAATCCGATAACAAAAGCAGCGGATATTTACTGGACATGCAGAATACGACCTTGGAGATTTATATGATGAAAAAAAGTATGCTGATAGTTAAAAATTGTATGAAAAAATAATGAGAGGTTAATGCGTATCAAAGAGTACTTAATTAGCCACAAAACTATGCAAGGTTCTGTCGCAGGAAATGCATACCCGCACGTCAATACTGTTGTTTTGATATTACATCATAATCGAAATTTTTACTCGCTTCTCAGCTAAGCTATTTTGTTTAGCAATTAATATTTTATTAAAATGCATGGTAAAGAATGGGAAAAAAATTTAAAAAATTTTTCTAGGTGGTAATTGTTCGCTTTTTAATAGAAGATCAGAGGGGGAAATGGTTTAAGCACATTGCGCAAACAAATTAATGGACCACCTTGAATAACTTTTGATCTAATGATTTGATCTTCTTGTTACAAGACTTAATCTTAAAGGTTCCAGGAAATAACCTCAAATGTGCTAGTTGATTGGTGCAGACTATATTTTAGATTGGTGCAGACGATTGGTGCAGAAATCAAACAAAAAACCGTTCTTTCTCTGAATAAACATACATTTCTTTCAACGGCTACTGATTTCTGATCCCCAAAATATAGGGGTTAGCCCCAATCTGGGAAATATGGTACTCATAGTTTAGTCAGGGGAACGGATCAAAGTTTCGACCCTTTTACTTTTTGCCATATCTAGAGAACTTTTTAAGCGAGTTGAAAAATTTTTTGAACTTGTTTAATCAAAGATAATTCCAATAAAATAACTTTTAGAAAGTTTTTATTTTATTTTATTTAATAATAGTTGAAAAAACTTTAAATTGTAAGGTATACTATTTTTTGCGTATTTTCAAAGAACGTAATTTCACTTCTCAAAATACAAAATCTGAGCGAAATCGGTCGAATAGTTGCTTAGATATCGAATTTTTAAAAAGTTGTGTTTTTAAAATTCGATTTCTCAGGTCAGTTTATTGTTTTTTATTTTTTATTATTATTTATTTATTGCGCACTACTCTTGAGTGCTGATTCTCAGATTAACGAATTTCAAGATTTAAGAATTTTAAGGAGCATGCATTCGATAGAAACAGTAAAAATAAAAAAATATGCGCAAATGTCGCACAATTTATTTACATCCCCCCAAAATTTCCAAACAAAATTTGCAATTTTTGATGTTGAGAAAAAATAAAATTTGAAAATCAGGTTGGACAAGAATCGTTTTTTCCTCAAAATTTCACCCCAATCCCCACCTCACTAGTATTCCAATCATCTTCTTCACTACACTTTAGTATTTCAACGCGTGGGCAGAAACCTTTTATTCCCCGAACACGATCCCTCTTCACTGTGTAATAACTCTCGGAGAAAACACATTTTCCATTTCATTGATTTTTAAAAATTCAGTAATTCTTGAAATGCACAAGATGGTGGTCCAGGCGTCATTTTTGTGAAAAATGGATATTAACCGTTCTTCTCCCTGAATCTTTAATTTTGTTACATACACTTTGATTGAAATATTCGTCATGCTTTTATTTCCTTAACTATCCTTAATAAATATTTTTCATAGCCACCTAAGATATATTTTTATTATTGGACACCTAATATGATTGACCTCCCTTAATGTATATTTTAATGACCATCTTTAATATACATTTTTAATGACTCTCCCTTTGTATATGAGTGACCACCCGTGATATGTATTTTTAAACCCCTTGTACGAAATGAGGGTGGAAAAAAAAAGATTCGTAAAATAATATTTTTGCTGCCCCTTATGTGAGTTTTAGTTTCATATGCTTTTGCAAAAATATTATTTTCTACGAAAAACAAGAACAATTTATACTTTTTGTGTTATTAAAATCTAAAGGCTAGCAGCAATGAAGAAGACGGGAAGTGAAAACATCAAAAACCTGTTTTATTGTCGTAAGTTTTGAGAAGACGTTACTAGAAGCACCTTAAATTTTCATCAGTTAATCAAACTGGTTTTGTTGTTTTTCATTTTAATTTCTTCACTACATTCTAAAAAATTACCGTTAATTTCGCGGAGTTGGCTGTTAATTCATTCTTCAGCAAAATTAACACTTTGAGTCGACTAACTTCCTTTAGTCTTAAACAACGTGAAGGCCCCAACTGAAGGTCACTTTAAAGAACAAATTCTTAATTTTCGGTCAATTAACGCATATCTCACGTGAAAAAAAAAATTACTGACATATCTGTACTATTGGAGACAGACCTGTAGCTTTACGGGCATAAATTTATTTTTACGGTGCGTTATGAATACTTTTTGTTGGTCTCTGACCGTAATCTAGTGGTAGAAGTTTTTGCAGGGTGTGATTTGACAGATTTCGATATCTGTTTTTTCTTTTCTTAATTATAAATGTAAACTATTACATAAAAAAATTTATGTAAGTAACCGAATATGTTTATAAAACATATTCAAATTTACAAAACTTTTAAATTGCACATAGAAGTATAATGCTAGATATAAATCAAAAAAATATTTACCTTAGCATTTTGTTGCGTAGCCGATGTGACATCACCATTGTCCAAACGGAATCTAGACTCGCCTAAAAGAAAAATACACAAACTTTTCGTCAAATAGATGAAAATGAAATAAAAGCTAAGAATAAACATTTTTGATCAATACTAAATATGCATCATGAGCTAACTTTATATTATTATTAATACTTTACTGTTATAATATTATTATAAATAAATTTCTATGTAAGTTATCTTCCAAACAAAATGCATTTTCAGAATACGTGATAAAACATGTTCTCTTAACCATTTCTACTACTTTATTTTGACTCTGCTACTACATTCAATAACTCCACTTTAAAATTACTACTCAACTTTAATTTACTATTCTTACAAGTACTCCACTTTAATTATAACAACTTAGAAGTACTTCACTTTAATTTTTCGACTCACCGACCAGGTGACCGAGTGGTCAGCGTGCCTGACTGCGGAGCCGATGGTTGTGGGTTTGAATCCCGCTCAGGGCATGATGTTTCTTTCTCTCTGTGTTCTATGTCCTTTCTCCTTTGTGTGAATGTGAACCGCCCCATAAACGGGTTTGTGGTTGTGTGACGTGGGCGGACGCTGCTCCAAGGCGTAGCTTCGCCACAGGTGCCCACTGGGTAACGAGAAGAAAGTAGCAGTTCCACCCCCGCCCCCCCATGAATGGGACAATGCAACCCAAGTGCCCGCCATTAAAAAAAAAAATTCTTCTTAAATTACTATTTAGCATTAATTCTATTACTACTTTCTTTTAATAAACTTAAATTTTGCTATTCCATATTTTCCTACTACTTTAGACCAAAAGTAACATTTTTGTTTTTAAATCTTATACTTCATAATTAAATCCATTTTCTATCGATTTTAGAAGAAATGTGCCTTTTTTAATTCAGGGACATTAAAAAGAAGTTCTTTATGCCGCTCTTTTACATAACTATATATTTTGACTAACGAATTTTTCACGAAAAGAACGTTTTTTTTTCTAATATTCCTAACTTTGATATATGATTATGATAAAAATTTATTCGATAAGAAATTCAAAAAATAAATAAATAAATTTAAAGCAGACTAAATTATGGCTCTAATGAGAGATACTGTTTTGGGCTAATATTTGATTGTGCATTGGTTGAAGTAAGGTATTATTTGAGACTAATGCTATAGTATAAGTGATTCTAATGCGAGGTACTGTTTGGGGTTATAGCTAAACTGTGCACAGGCCTAGTGCGAGATACCATTTGGGATTAAAGTTAGACTGTATATGATCTAATATTGTTTGAGCCGCGATGGCTCAGGAGATGGAGCGTTCGCCTTCCAATGAGGTGAACCGGGTTCGAATTTCAGCCATAGCTGGTCGATACGAATTCCGCATCTGACTTGCACCGACCACAGTGTTTTGTTGTTTTTGTCACTTGCCAATGACAGCAAGCCTGCTTGGGAAACCAAGGGAATGCAAAGCAGAGGGCTTGTTTCTTGTTTTTCAGTGGCGCCATCTATGGCACCAGTAACCACTAAATACACAGGGTTTCACCGGCCGGGAAGTGAAACCCTGTGTACTCCCGTTCTCACGAACACGATTCCTACGTCCTACCAACCAGGCTATCTTGGTCTTGGGTCTAATGTTAGATAGTGCATTGGGATTATATAAGACTAGTCTTTTTTATAATTTTATTTTTAAAAAATTAAATATTTCGTACTTTTTTTTGTACTTGTAAAATTAAATACTTTTCTTTTGAAACCGAAATCAAATGCTTTAAAAGCTCTTATTAAATATTTCAAAAGAGTAAAACTAATGCTGGGAAAAAATCATTTTTCTAAGTATTGTCTCGAAAAAGAAAAGGCTTCTTGAAAAGAACTTTTTGTATCGTCTGCTGTACGAGGTGACCCCCTTTACTGATATTTCAACTCATTTATTAAATCAGGTAAGTATTCTATCATTGAAAAGAACGGAAGGAAGAAATGAAATGACCAACGCAGTCATGGCAATTCTATCAAATGTTCTTAATTGACCATGCAGCCTATTCTCTCTTAAAAAGTTGCCCTTTTTTCACTACCAGCATTAAGGCTGAATTTTGAAGGCTCTGTTGTTACATAAAATGACTCAGTTTTGATAAGCTACTCTCATAACTAGTGAGAAATCAGGATTAGCCTAGCTTTAGGCAGCGTCCTCTACGCTAATTCTCAAAATGGCGTAAAACGTCTACTTGAAGAACAGTCACAGTTTTGTGAAAATGAAAAGTGTTCATGATCAAATTTTATAATGTATGAAAAGTTACTCTAACAATGCATTGAGCAGTGGTGGCTCTGGGAATAGAGCGTTTGGCTTCCAACGAGGTGGACCCGGTTCTTATCCCAGCGATGGCTGGTCGATACGAATTCCGCACCCGGTTTGCACCGACCACAATTCTGACGTATATCCTCAGTGGTAGACGGATAATGGGTTAGAGCAATACCTCCTAGAAAAGAGAAGGCCTCAGCACGGGTTACCATAAACAAGAAATTTGATCCTTTAGTAGTCCAAACGTGGACACCTTCGTCATAACCACCACTGCGCAGCTTAGTAGTCCGAACGTAGTGACATCTCTCTTAATTTTCATCCACTGCGCAGTTTATGATCGTTACGTCGGACTACTAACCAAGTCCGTGCTGAGATATTCTTTCTTCTAGGAGGTGTTGGTTAGAGTCCCTTTGCCGTCTGGCTAACTGTGGGGAGTTTTCGAGGTTTCCCTCTCCATTCTTCTAGGAGGTGTTGGTTAGCGTCCCTTTGCCTTCAGGCTAACTGTGGGAAGTTTTCGTGGTTTCCCTCTCCATGTAACGCAAATACGGGTTAGTTATATCGAAAAGTCTTCTACGAAGGCAAATTTCTCCCAATACTTGATCCAGGAACGCCCCTGTTTCCTTGATTGGGTTCAAAATTACAAGCCTACGGAGTTGAACGTTAGTGGTCGTAAACCCAAAATTGGGTCGACTGTTATAGAATCTATGAAATTTAACAATGCATTATAATAAGAATGCATTGTGCATTTAGAATTTTACAAAAATGGAAAAGTAATCTTTGATTTTGATAGTTTTTATCAAGGGCGAAAATTCGACGTTCTTTAAAATGGTTAATAACTCTTAAAATATTCAAGTTATTTACCCGTTCTAAAACCCAGATAATTCTTTAAGTCAAGATATTATTGATAGCTGAAAGTTATTGCTTTACCCTAAGTGTAAGGCTCTTAAATTATTGCTTTCTTTAGAAAGAATTTCGAAAAACATTGTTTACTGAATTTTATGACGATAAAAATTGACTGTTTTTTCAACGCAATTCACATTAGCCCAATTCTTTTGAGTTTGCATATTAGATACAAATTACACTGCATAAGTAATAATTATTTTAGTTGTTATCAGATGAATCAGTCTAGTCACCTATCTATTTAACAATAATTCAATCAGGTTATTAAATTCGTAGATTAACAATCAAGTCAAACGATATCATTTCAAACCGGAACATTTTTAACATTATTTCTCTCTTATAAATAAGAATTAAAGCGATCATTGCTCTTTTAATTGTCAAAAACAATAATTATGTATGTCAATAACCAACTATTATTAAATGTTAGTTTCGAAACACCATTGTGTGCATTTCAATTTATTAGACCATTAAATAATGAATAATGCAATTTAAACTAGATATTTCATTTCTTTTCTTAAGTTCAACCGTTTTGTTATCAAATTATCCTAAATAGTTTGGTTATAGGTATTGATTATATTAATAACAATCAGCAAACATTTGAGTCCTAAAAATTTAAGTAAAATAGAGTCGGAATAAAAGAAAATCGCCCGAAGAATCATTTTGGTCTTATTTAAAGTAATAATAAAAGAAATTAAATTGAAATTGATAAATTAAATCGACCAATTAAAACAAATCTGATTAAATCACTTATGATGAAACACATAATTTTCTAACATTTTAATGAAAAGCTTTGCTAGGAAGAAAAATAATTCCAGTTTTGATTCATTATTGTCGTGAACTAAAAAACTATGCTATTTATGAAGAATGAATATTTATGATTAATTAAGGATGCTTAGAAGCGAGCTTTTAGCTCGCATCTCTCACCAACACCCAATATTATTTTACAGTCAGTTTTTTTTAATATTTTTCAACAATTTATAGTTGTAACAAAATTAAAAATTATTCAATTAAAATAACCGGTACATTTCCATTTCGGATGGTCGTAAGAAACCAACTGCTACAGTATCTACATCTTCTGTGTTAGGCAGATCATGGGTTAGAGTCCCCTTGCCGTGAGGCTAACCATGGGATGTTTTCGTGGTTTTTCTCTCCATGTAACGTAAATGAAGGTAAATTTCTCCCAATACTTAATCCAGGAGTTCCCTTGTCTTCTGGTTTGGGTTCAAAATTACAAGGCAACGGAGTTGAACATTAGTAGTCGTAAACCCAAAAATTAGGTAGGCTCTTCAACGACTGTTAGGTTATAAAATAATGTTTGAATGATTGATGTTTAATGTTTGATTTTTTCTTTATAATAATAGTCTTAAAACTAACTTTAATGTCACACAGTTGAATTAACAAGTCTGGGGATGTATTCAGTCTATTTTGGAATTTTTTTCTGAAGAATACATTATCTGAAATAAGTAAATTACGATTTTTGAAAAAGGACTGTTATGAACGTTGTGATTAGTTATAAAAGTATAATTCTTTATTCTAAGTTTCAGTTATAATTTTTTTATAAATGCTTTGAATAATTTAATAGATATTGTTATTAAAATGTATTTAAAAAAAAGACTACACCATTTTTTTACATTGGAATTATATTTAAATAATTTTTTTTCGAAAAAAAAAAAAACAGAAATATTAAAAATAATCTTTGGATTACTGATTTATTATCAATGTAATTATAGGTTTCAAAAATACTAGTAAAACAATTTTTAACTCTCAGAACGCTTGTGACTATACTATGGAACCCTAAGGTTCCACGGAACATTCTTTTAAAACTGCTGAATTAGAAAGCATGTATTTCGTTGTGCAATTAGTGTGATGAAGAAC